CAATTTGTTGATGACACAAAAAATCTTCAAAATTAAAACAAGTTATTAACATTAAAAGAACTGGTTCCTTGTTGTGCAATTTTCGGCAGAGAGCATACTATACTGTCTGCAGGATGGAGTTGACAAAAATTTTAAGTTCAGTGACCTCTCAGTGGTCCGGTCAACTTTTTTGCTAATTTTGTTTGTTTCCTTAATTTGGTCTATAAATATTTAACATATGATAATCCTTGCAAATAATCTAGAAATACATTTTTGTTTTGTCAAATGGAATCTTATGTATATTTATGATCATACCAGGCGTCTGTCATTAACTTCTTATGTTAATTTGTTCCTCTGTATATTGACATTTTCCATAAAGTAGTAACAGTGACAATAAATTGTAGTAAACTTTGCGACAATATTTTTGGGTTTTGGTGAATGCGCCAATTTTAATAATATGGACACTTTTTTAGAGCATTGATTCTTTACACGAAAAAAGAAAAATTTCATGTAGAAAAAAGGTAGTATATCATAATTTTGACTAACAAGTGTTTAAACTCATGTTTTTCTTATTGAATATACTTTGACTGATATGATACGCTATAACGTAATGGTTCTCGCTTTTTCTATGTCTCGCATTTTCTTTGGGATTAGTAGGACACTGGGCCAGTTCAATGAACTCTCGACGTCACTTGTTGGTAGTAACGGTTAGTAACTATAACTATATATATTTATTTATTTCCCAACTAGTATATTCTTTTTTGACAGCATATTTTCTTGTTAGTAACAATTTAAGTATAAGAATGTATTATTATTATTACTATTATTTATTATTAATATTAACTGTTTTTTAACTTTTAAACAAATAGTTATTTCTTAAATTTATTTAATGAGTCTTCCTCTTCCAATAGTATAAAATTGAGGAACGATACATATTCAGTTTGTCTTTTGAAATTATTCCTTTAATATCTTTCCAAAAATCATTTACGTTGTTTTTTATCAATCACAGAGTTAAGTTACTATCACAGATGTCAATTTATTATCGGTCAATACATTTTGTATCTCTATGGGAAATGTTCTGGAAATTTGAAGAGAAAGTTCTTAATTTTTTCTGGTGATGAAACTTAAGAACTTTTCGCTTAAGCATATAGTGTACTAGTTAAAAGAATGTACATAACAACAAATCCTCATCAAGCCGCTAGATCTCTAACAAACTGGGGTTAAAAAATCGTGGTGCATTTTTGAAGTATAATTATTAAGAGTGTTATTATTACTTGAATGTGTTATTTAGTACCTACTTTTTCAAATATATAATGTGAGTATTGTATTTTTTTTGTTGTTTTTTTCGCATTAATTATAAGTAAATAAATATGTCAATTTAATAGCGCATTTGAAATGTCCATTTCTTTAATCATATGGTTAAATTATAAGTAGTTGGACAAATCGCCGCCGTGTACCTTGACCAATGAACGCTCTGTATATTGAGGTCAAGCGATTCAGAAGCGGGACTTTTCTACTTTACTCTAGAACGTACCATTTTCTTCGTCTTCCATCGATTGCTACGTCACATTTAAAGTTAGGAATTGAAATCAATATCAATTTAATTTTTCTTGTCCTTTACGAACAATGGAACTTTTGGGACTTAAATTGCAGTTTCTTTGATACTCTTTTAAATTGATTTAAAAATTTGACCTCTTAAAAATATTATTACACTGCTACTAGCTTCAATGCAACAATTTTGAAATACATAGGTGTGGGTTAGATTTAATATACAAGGCATGTCATATCATAATGGTGAATAACACCCCACAATACCTGGTAAACAACTAAGATCATTTGAAGCCGATTGCTGTTTCTGCTAACGAATGATCTTAACTGTTTGCTAGATATTTATGGATGGGGCTTTAGCCCGCAGAGTAGTTGCTTGCCACAATATTATTGGTTAAAATAGCCGTTGGTGCTTGAGAACAACAGTGTTGCTTGTTTTACGTCTAAATCGAAAGCAAAAGTCACAAAATAGCACGCTGTTCAATGTAAGGAAGACTTAGATCAATTGAAAACTAATGTTAATGATATTAACAGTTCGTACGAGATCAGTGACGGAGATACTGGCTGGTTTTTTCCATTAAGTATCCCAGAATTTCGACACCACTGACTATTCTGGAAACTTCTATATGTTTATTATTTATTATTTTCGATTTATTATTAGTTTTTTTTCTAAATACGCTTTACACACAGTAAAATAAATCTAAAGTAGTTCTAAACCTATTTATTTCATAAAAAAATTTGTAGGAATTTTTGGACCGAAAACAATTTTAAATATGGTATAACCACAAGAAGTTTAAAACAACTAAGTATATTTTTTTATTATCTGAAGTACATCAAGGGGCACAGTTCTTAAAACAATTTAAAATTTCTACGCTTATGATTTTTTTTGGATTTTCGATAGTTAAACTGTGCAATTCCCATACATTTTCAGCTGTGTGATAAGTTTGTTTTAAATAAAAAAAAACGTAACGTGAAATAACGTTAGGGGTTAAATGGTCTCATCCATCCATCCTCTCACTCAGTGGCGTCGAACTTTTGAGTTTCTTCGTCACCTGTATCTATGTCAAACGACTTCAAAGACATTTGAATGTATATAATACTTGTTTAACCTCTATCCTTTATATTTAGGAAAACAGTGGCTTTATACTCTTGGGCCTCTAGGACCTTTTGGTCTAAAATGGTTCAAAGCGAACAGTATCTTTGCCCGTTGGTTAATTTCAGGCTGTCGATATCTAGAAGGCATCACATCAAGGTGTATGTCATCAGATTTGTATTACAATTACATGAATCAAAATAAATTAATGAATACCCTGTAATATTCACAATTTCTATTTTGGAAAATAATGTTTTTAGATAATCTTTGAAATTATCTTAATAGATTCTCGTCACATCTTATAGAAGAATTTATATTTAGAATTGTAAACAGTAATGAAATAGTTGTGGTAGACATTTCATAGATTTCTTTGTTTGAAAAATTTATAAATTTTAAATTTAAAAATATTCCAATACATTTCAATAAGTCCTTCAAATCTTCATATGAATTGGTGGTTCATTTATATTTGCAGTTAGTGTCATTTTTAATACCAGTGTTAATTAAAAATAATTAATTTAATAGCTTTGCCCTACTTGGACCTTTCCAAATTCTTGGAGGTTTACATTGTTTTCATATCTATTGCTGAAACTATGGATATCCTATTTTTATTGCTTTTCAGTAGCTAAAAGGCAATAAAAATAAAATTGGCTACTTTTATAGTTGTAACATCATTGTATTCATCATATAATTCTGCACATTTCATTCACTTATCGAGTTCTGGAATTTGATTACGAATAACTTGCCAGAGAGAAATTTGCTTTATCTATTTTCTGTAGACGAAAAACTAAGTTTTGTTTTCGTTTTTTGTTAAACTTAAACATTGTTAGTACACTTTCTTGTGAAGATTTCTAATACGTAATATGTAAATTTTGACAGTTCAGTAAAATGAGAAGTGCATCTTATTTGTGGAAGGGCGAAATGGGCGGTGACTATTAGACGCCTTCATTATAGCCATCTTTCTCTATCGCACGGATTTCTATGACTTTCTTTATCGCTCTCACGTAACGGCCGATGAACTATGGGGACTTTCCGACCCTGTATATACAAAAAAGATCTAAATGCTTCAAAATTCTTGTTTGACCTAAATTTTCCTAATATTATCACCTACATACGTGTTTATTTTTTTGACGATAACTCTTACTTTTTAAGATTTTTAATCGCACAAAGGCTCATTTTGCAGGGAATTGTAAGGGCTACGTGAACTGTTGAGTTAATCATTTTTAAGCCCTTCATTTTTAAGTTTGAAGGGTTTAAAGGGCTCGAAATAATATTAATTTTAGAGGAATAAAAAATAAAGCAAAATCTTCAGCAAAAATAAAGCTAAATTTTTTTACTCTTGTAGTTATTTCGTACACCTTTCAATTTTTAAGTTACAGCGTAAAAATCGAATTTTTTCAGAAATTTGAAAAATTAATATTTTCAAAAATTTTTTTTCGAAATCATGCTTTGTAAGTGAGCCAAAAACCCAGAACATATTCTTAGAACATAAATCAATAAATCTGTAAATGGATTGAATTTAATTTTAATTCTGTCGCCAAATAAGGCACTGATTTGTTTATTAATTTTTTCTCAAAAAAATGAGACTATCATGATATTTCGATCATATTTCCGTTAATTTTGATTCTAGAGACTTTTAAAACGGCTCATTTTAAAGGTTTTTCAAAGTACTTTAAAAAAGGTGCAAATAGTTTTTTTCGTAATATTTATGGTTTTGGCGTTATTTAACGTTAACTGGTTACAATTTAGTTTTTAGCTAACATATAATAATGTTTAAAAATCAATAACTCGGTTTATATTGCAATTAGAGAAAAACAAAATTATGCCGTTGGATTTGTTTTTTTATTACCTCTCTTTTTGTCCATTACAACATTTTCGTTAAATCCAATGGTTTCAGAGTTATTTGCAAAAAACTGTCCGAAAACAAGCACTTTTTCAGGAAAAAATTAACATTTTCAATGACGAATTACTCGGAAAGTATTGGATTATCCAAAAAACTTTATATAACATTTGTTACTTAAAAGTGACTCCTCTATCGATTCCTGTGGTTATTTTGGGCGTAAAAATTTCCACCCCCAAGAAGGGGGCGAAAGCACACTTCGACACTATATAAGTTTTGTTCCTTGAGGCATTGCCACGTTTAGTCAAAATTTCACGTCAATCGGTTCAGTTATAAAGAATTCGGAGGTAAAAACCCTGAGTAACTGTACTACGAGGGTGGTCCCAGAAGTACCCGGGCTGACCTAGAGATGGCGGTAGTTGTTTGAAAAATATCACTGTATTAATCTATAAAGCATAATATGTTTCAAGACTAAAGACGCCATGTTGTTTAGTATTTGTTTGACAGCCATCAATAGTGAACGTTTTCAGTGAATTTGTGAAAATGGAGAAAATTGGTCATCGTTATGTGATACAATACTTTTATTTGAAAGGCCTCAGCCCAACCAATATAAAAGCTGAACTAGATTTTACTCTGGGTGAGTCTGCTTCTTCGTTTACAACAGTAAAATATTGGGTAGCAGAGTTTAAACAAGGCTGTACGAGCTGCCAAGACGAGCATCGCAGGGGTCGACCAAATGAGATGACGACTCCAGAAATGGTGAAGAAAATCCACAAAGCGGTACTGGATGATCGTCGACTAAAAGTGCGCGAGCTAGCAGACATAGTAGGCATTTCAAAAAGTGCGGTACATCGCATATTATCTAAAAATTTGGACATGAGAAAGCTGTGTGTAAGATGGGTGCCGCGTTTGCTCACACTCGAGCAAAAACAGTCTCGTGAAGATGTTTCAATCGAGTGTTTAGCGAAGTTTCATAGCAACAAAGCATAATTTTTGCGCCGTTTCATAACCATGGATGAAACATGGGTCCATCACTTCACACCCGAAACAAAAGAACAATCAAAACAATGGACTGAAAAGGGTGAACCGGCTCCAAAGATGGCGAAGACCGTTCCTTGGCGTCGGTTTTTTGGGATGAGCGTGGAATAATTTTCATTTACTATCTTGAAAAAGGAAAAACTATCAACGGCGAGTATTATGCGAACTCATTGCAAAGTTTGACCGAAGAAATCAAGCAAAAACGGCCGCATTTGGCTAAGAAGAAAGGGTTGTTTCATCAAGACAATGACCAATTTTCTCCGTTTCACAAATTCACTGAAAACGTTCACTATTGATGGCTGTCAAACAAATACTAAACAACATGGCGTCTTCAAACTTGAAACATATGCTTTATAGATTGCGTGCTTTCTAACACAGTGATATTTTTCACACAACTACCGCCATCTCTAGGTCAGGCCGGGTACTTCTGAGACCGCCCTCGTATATGCCGTCTTTAAAGAAAGAAAAAGTTGTTTGGCGCCATTGATCACAGCCACACAGAAAAAAAAAAGTTGGGTATACTTTTTATGCGACATATATTTTTCGTAGTAATTTGGCCTCCTGAACACGAATCTGGGGTCAGAATTGGCCCATCACGTCACAATTTTTTCCTAATCTCAAAAAACTTGTGAAAAATAGTGAAAATTGATGAAAATTTACTGGGAAAATTTGGAAAAAAATTTATTTCCACATCAAATAGTACATTTTTATGTAAAAGACTCTGCTGAATTCAAATCCACTGTCAGAATTGAGCTAGAACGTGTGGTTTTTTTTCTAACCTCAAAAAACCGAGCAGGAATCGCTATTTTCAAATTCTGAGCTGATTTTGACCAGATTTTGTATAAAGGGGTTTTTTGGGTCGCTGATTACGAATATGAATTCACATTGAAAAAATTCGAGATGGCTGATCCAATATGGCGGGTGTACTTTTTTGAAATCCACCGATTTCAGTAAAATTTGGCATCATAAGGATTGCTGGTTGATCTCACCTTCATTAATCACACATCTGGAGCCAGATTTTCATAAATCAAGGTAAAATTTGTAGGCAGAGTCATAATTTTAGGCCGAGTAGGCGGCATTTTTTCGGCAAAGTCACATTTTTAGATTGAAGGCATAAGCAGATGCAGTGATGTGCTGTGTGGCAGTAATGTGTCCTTTTCCTTGAACTTTATAATTATTAAGAAATAAAAGCATCTAAATGCCATAGGAAAACTGCATAGTAGTTAAAAAAATCTGATTGGAAAACCATAAGCCCATGCACGACTAAATAAATGAAAGGATAAAGTAGAAACTTTTTTGTCTTGTCCCATGGAAACAAGCACATCACACTGCACGTCATTACATGTGTAGAGTCCTTAAGTAATTTTTTTAAGCGAAGTCACATTTTTAGACGGAGTGGAATCTTTTAAAAGTATACACAACTTTTTTTTTCTGTGTGGCTGTGTAATATTTGAAATGCTCACAAGAAAATTGTCTAAAAAAGTATACATCTTTACGTTTTCCATAAAAAAGTAAGATGTAAAAACGGACATCATAGTTTTCAGTTTTTCGTAGATAACTTTAAAATTAAAAAGATAGGTAAAATTTCTCTTGAAAATTATTAATTTATCAAATGCTGCATTTGACCGAACGTGTATCACTTAAGATAATCGAGATCCCTATAGTGGGGCCCGAAAAACTGGCAACAAAACTAGTTTTTAAATATTTTTGCATTTGGTATCAAAAGCAATGCACGGACCATTAACGGAGTAATAGCACATATTACAAGGTTCGCAGTACACTGTTAATTGGTTATTTTTTATTGTTGATAATATTCATTGTTCTGCGTGTAGTGCTCGTTAAATGAAAGTATAAGGCGCCGCGTCATAACCACCGGCCTTTTAGGTAGTTCAGGTGACGCCTTTTCGATGTTGCGTTATTGTATTTTAAGTACCATTATAGAATATACTGCAATTGACATTCAAAGTACAATTGATAATCGCACCGTTAATGACGATGCGACAGTTCTGTCAACTTCCTGGTGTCGTATGTGTACCACAAATCCAAAGCGTAACGGTGCCGCATTATCAGCTTACAACGGTATGCCCTATAGCGCTGGTAATCTATGGAGGTAGTCAACTTCATACTAGTTCTACCGGTGTGGGTACAAAAAGAATACAGGTGATGCATAACTACACGCATCGATTCAAGGTTATAAGGGTCGGGATTCTTTAGACCTTCATCATTTCGAAGATTATAAAAGTCCCGTTAACTAACCTCTTTTCCGAGTCCGGTTAAGTAATCCTTTTTAAAAGTTTTATATCATATCTTAATGGACGCCGCGCACTCCTCGCCCGCATGCAGGTGGACGCATGAACATTAGCTGCACACTTTTGAGACAATGAAATTTATATAAAGGATCTTATCTTGGGTACACTTGTTGCTGTAAAAAGTATGTAATTGAGCTCAGGCGGCAGGTGGAGGAGCGAGTGGAGGTAACAGAAAGGTGGAACGGTTGTCATTTTTAATCGCTGGATAACAAACATAAACAGTTTAGGGATGAGTTAACATTTATGCTTTCACGTAATTTATTATTCATTCACTCAATTTAAATAAGTAACAATCATAAACATGCTGAACTAATTGAATTGAAACGAAGAGACTTTTAAAGCAGATTTTGAAATTTTGGAAACATTGGAAAATTTAAGTTTGACTGTTAAAATTTATTTATGTGAGATTTGAAGTAGTTATCGCTTTTTTACATTAAATTCAAACAAATAAATTTTTAGTAAGGTTTTTCAATCAATAACACAATCATTCGCGTTATCAACAACATTTTGCCATCTAGTGTGCAAATTTTCAATGCCGGATCGATAAAAATCAATTGGTTTTTGAGCAAAATATCTGGAGGTGGTTTTTTGGGTATCATTCAAATTTTATTTGCCTTTTCCGTTTTGAATTATAGAGGGGCCACTTTTCATCTCTAGTGACCAAGCGATCAAAAAACGGTTCTGTGTTGTGCCGTTGAAGCAATAAGTTGCATGTAGTGGGGTTAGCTTTGTTTTTTTCGGACAGATTATGATGGACCCAAACACCTACTCTGTTTACTTTACCAATCTGCTGCAAATGATCTTTGGATGGTAATCAAGGTTGGTTAAGAGTGTTTGATAGTTCCTTGATTATCTGCACGGATTTGCTTCCACCTTCGCCTTAAAACGTCGTTGTATAAAGTTGTTCGTCTTCCTGATCGATATAAATCGAAAATATCAAAATTACCGGATTTGATCTTAAAAATCGACCTTTGGCATTTACGAAAGTCTAAATGCACTTGAATAAACATTGCAAATGTTCTTGGTAGCAACCATGCGTTACCAAGTAAACAAAGCACTAACCTTAAAATATCTATAGTACGACTTTGAAGTAAGTACGCAATGTCCTGTTAAATGGTAAAAAATATTGACTTTCGCAGAAACGACATTACTCTTCGGTCCTCCTATTATTTGAAAAAATTTTGAAATCTAAGTTATTGGTTTGCTGTAAGATTGTATATATATTTCATCATATTCTTGGTTTTAATTGTTGTTTTGTAAACGTCATTTGGGGATAGTTATTTTAAGATAATAACCTTAGCTTTTGCTGAAAGACAGCAACCCGTCTGTTTTCTTTTTACAGTCAAATTTATTGACACAAAGATGGTTTTTGATGCTCACGAATAGGTGGTTTCGTATAATTGCTTTAATGAAGAAAAAGTTCAACTTATATCTCTCATGGAAAGATTCTGCTCCTTTTATTGTTACAATGATAATGAACTTGTTTTGGAACATGTTCAGAAAATAAATGAAGCAATGAATAGTGTCCGACACTCACACATTTTTCCTAATCCTGTGAGTCAGTTTTCCAGAGGAACTAGACAAATTCTGGTACATTCTGCTTCCCAATGTCTAATAATTTACTTTGCCCATACACAAGTCCAAAAGTCTAATTGCAGATATTTCATTTAATTCACTCGTTTTTAAGAAAGTTTTATCAAGATGGCTGATATTCGGATGTGTAAAATCCACGTATTCTCACAGAATATATATTGACTCTTTTTGCTGTTATAACCATGGCAGATTTGACTATACTCATTTCATATTGCAGAGATATTTCTTCAATTGGCAGAGTGTCAGCCGTGCGATTTCTCTGAGTTTGAAAAATCAAGTAAAAGTTATACTCAGTATTTCATTTATTCTGCTCATCTTCAGCTTCATTTGGAGACATAAATTTCAGATCTTCGTAGAAGCGCTACCTTGTTTCTTCTGTTTTCTTTGTCTTTGGACATTTGAAAGGTCTTTTGTGATAATCGAAATTTAAAAATGATGTTGAAGATAAAGATGGGATATATTGTTCAGCAAATGTAATAGTACGTGTAGTGTATTGATATAATGGATAACTGACTAGAAAACTAACATGATGTTATTTTGTATCTTAAATTGAACTGTAAATCGTTATATTTCATTATAATAAATTTGTGTTTAACGTTTGAAAAATCATAGCAAACTGATTTTCAAGAGAAATTTATTGTACATATTTAATATTTTTCTTTAACGTTTTACTAGGACTGATTATAATGCATTAGGATTTTTAGAAGTAATCAAAATATCATTTATTTTAGATATTTATTAAACAATCAATTCGGATTTATATATGTATACTAAACCCTTTCTCTACCGCTGTCGATTTATTGAGAAATAGTTTAATTTTCAATATTCAAATCAAACAATACCTGAAATAACAAAGAGAACAGCTGCCCCCTTTCAAAAATTTACAAATAATATTTGACAACCGGACATCTGACGCAGTCAAAGAGACCGATGACTACTAATCCTTAAAGTAAAGAACCGTTTCTTAGCAAAATGAACAATCAGGCGACCTGCCTGGTACCTAAACGAGTGGTTTTGTTTGTGGCCAATAGGAATTAAAGGATGAATATT